ACTAATTCTTAGCTTGGTTCCATCTGTGTCCATCAAAATCTTGACTTTTTCTTACACTCTTCTCTGTGACATGTCATTTCTGATGCAAAATCTAGAACACTGCCATTGAAAACTCCTGTACAAACTGAAACAAGGTCTAAAGGCCTAATTTCAGCATTCTTCCATTTTACCTACCCCAAAAAGAGCTATCTATCTGGCTGCTCTGTATGGTGTAGAAGTCTATGCACCATTGCCATCTAGCCTGGAAGGGAGTTTGACACTGGAGCAGCAGCAGCAATGAAAGGTGCTAGCAGTGCTGCTTACTGTGGCTAATATTAGTAATTCAGCTCCATTAAGCTGAAAAGTATTGGATTCATTAGAAACATGAGATGTATAGTAAAAATCCAAGCTCTGCATTCCCTGCCTGTCAGATTAATAAATTCCATTAAGTTGCATTAGACACCTCAGGTTAACTAAGGAAGAACAGCATAGAAAAGGAAACAACTCAGGGGGAAAAACAATTCGAGAACAAGAATGCATCCAAAGAACACAGCATGACCCACAGGATTTGCAAAACTCCCCCTTTTGCAAAGTATCCAACGTACGTTTGACCTACTTTTACATTCAAACACTGGGATTTTGATGGTCTCTCTGTCCCAAGATGCCTTTCAACACTGCAGGGAATTTTACTCATGTACCAAAAAACACAGGACTTGCTGAAAACTAGCTTAAACCTGCAAGGGCTAAAAGCAGCATGGAGAGTTTCACTGCAGGCACAGCAGTGAAGTCAGGAACTAAACCTGGAACTTTGCAGCACAAGGTTCAGTTGTCAGCTCCATCACTGGCATGTAATGCCACCCCAGGGACACTCTCTCTTTTCATCCATCCTTCCTGAGTTAGGAGCTCCAGAGAAAGATGATCTCCTCCTATGGCTAGCACAGTACAGCTCTGATATCAAGGGATTGATAATACAAATAAAAATGGAGGTATGTACAATCACTCTTTAAGGCCATCTCCAAATCTTTTGAGATTAGGATGGCTCCTCCTCCCTCAAACAGGCAGGATACTCTTAATCTGTATCCTATTGCTGTGAAGCACGTATTTCCTTTAGGAAAAACAAGATACACCTTCAGCAAATCTAGAAATATCAGGCTATCATTGGGAGGAAACAGGTGTGTTGCAGAATGTCATGAAACAGCTTTCTCCAGCAGAGCTTACCAGAGGCATCCCTAAGAGAGGGACAGGGGGAAGAAAGCTGTCCCTCAGGTAACCTTTTAAAAGGGCATCCTGGCAGTCAGCAGGCATTTGACTTTTGGAGGTCCCGGGGTCCCACAGCCCAAATCCCTCTGCTTATTCTTCTCAGACAGAGAGCTCAGAAATGTGAAAGAGAGTGTTAATTATAAACAGTAGGGGTAAAAGCCTGGTTTTAATAAGTCAGTGGTGAAACTCTCCTCAACTTCTCAAAGGCATTTCTAAGTTGCACTGTTGATTTTAGTTTTTAAGTTTCTGATTATTTTTTTTTAACTTTTCCTTCTGAAATTTAGGTTTGGAAGTATCTGTGAAGCTGGCTAAATTTACCTGTGACCTATATAATACATACAGTAGCTTCTTATCATATACTAGTGTGTTATTCTCACTATTTTTCCCTCTCCTAAAGGATACAGGGGATGCAGCTTGGAGCCAAAACTTCCATTTCAATTTTCATGCTATTGCCACATGGGTCTCCCAGGCTCATTTGTCTTTGAATTTAGAAAATTGAAATTCTTATCTCTCTGGCCATACATCCTGTACGATTCGAGTCAGATTCCAGACTCCCTGATGCTTTTTTTTGCTGCATATGTAGCAGGATTTCAGAACTGAGTTTCTCAGCTCATATATCTTCTTTTGTCCAGACTAATACACTAAAGTCACAACTACCACAGCCCCTTTCCTGACTTTACATAGTGGCAGATTAGGGGGCCCAGAAAATCCATTTCACTCCACACTACTAATACATGAAAATTTTAGACTCACAGGGATAGTCTGCTGCACTCTTTGGTAAGATTTACACCTCACAATGGTTAGGACATTGAATATCCTTTACCTGTGAATTCTTTTGATTTAACCTTTACTCACTGAGTACTACAAGTTCTTCCTTTCCTACTAGTTGTCATTAATTCGCCTTGAAGCAAATTTTCCTTTAATTTCACCTTTATTTCCATTGTAATCACCCCTCATACAAGAGCAGCCTCTTATTTTTTCATGCTTGATACACTTATATTGGAAAATGGGTTTATCTACAGAGTTACACAGACTATCACGATTTATAACAGTGTGTTTAATTCTTTGGAACCAAACTGAGCACTAACTGCCTTGAGCTGTTTGGTGGGAAATTAGATTTGTGCTAAACTGCTTAATGCTCTGGGGAATGCAGAATAAACTAGATGTGGCAATTTTATGAGTTTCAGAACTTCAAAAGTACTATATTTTTATCCCTATCACTGAGCTTGGATGTCATTATCTAAGACTTTTTTTCTACACATCATTGTCCCAAAATGGATTTAAATTTTAAAAAACTTGAGGAGGAAAGTGGGGGGAGGGTGTGGTTTATGCAAAACATTTCTAATTTACAACATTTTACACTTAGAATATGGAATGAAAGAAAGACAAACAATTTAGGAGCAGTTTGATTTTAATTTTACCTTTTAGATAAGACTACATCAGTAAATGTGATGTGCTTTCAGATTGACAATCTGGAAGGAAAACTTAAACTGAAAATATGGAAAAAACATTTCTGTCTTACTCCTTTTCCAAACTGCAGCAGGAGGACAGATCTCAAATCCATTTTTTCATGGCACTACCCAGGTCACATCTGAGAAGGGGGAGAGAAACAAAGAAAAGATGATAAAATTATTTATGCTCAGCCATTTAAATAGGCATTCCAGCTGACACCACACTAATTCTGAATAACAGCCACTGCTGTATGGACAAGAGTTCTTTATTTAAATTCCCAAGTGCTGTTAATGTAATATGATAATGCAACACAATTAGCTATTTCAGCAAGACCTGATATTACCAAACCTTTTATTGCATGATGAAGTGCCATCTCCATTATTAAATTTCATAAAATACATTTCTCACATCAAAAAATATATATTTGCAATAGAAGGACAATAGAAATTGTTAACAAGATGATGAAGCTTCTGGAGCAGTAATTATGTGGCTAAAAGGCAGTGATTGTCCCACAGTGCTTCTAAGGCAGGTTTCTGCAAGCGAGATCTGTATTGCAATGTGTTGTGCTAAATTCACTGCCAGTTCTGCCACTGCCAAGGACAAGAAAATTGATAATTTTCTTGTCCTTAGCAATGCTGTGTAAAGATAAAATACACCATGGTGGAGTCTGGATTTGCAAAGAAACTTCACAAATCTACTGAGTTGTGAAAATATAGGGACCAATTCTTGTGCTGAAAGGAGAATGGTTTGACTATTTCTGTATTGCTTTAGTGTGATGAACAGGCCAGTCAAACTTGACCCATCTGTCCAGTTGCTGTTGCCAGATATTGGCCCTCACAGAGCTCAAAAAAATTATTTACAAAAATTTATCACTCTTTTGGTTGAAATATCCAAAAATCTCTTCTATTAGATATCATTTTTAATGATAGACCAATGAGAAAAAAATCTCTGCAAGGACTTCACAGAGTTCTGATAGGACTCTCTATATTTTTAAGTCTTTGCCAATGAACATGTTTTCAAATAACTGGAGCTTTTAATAGGATTAGCTGTAATTGGGATCTGTGTCACAAAGCCTACTGAGACAGGGAAAAAGGGAGAACTGGGACAGAAAAACAAAAGTAAGAATAGGCTAGGGTATCTAATATATCATAGCTAAAGTATCAGGAGATCCATACAAACCTAAAAAAATCTAAAAAACAACAAGGAAAAAACTTGTCCTACTATAATTTCAAAAAAGTGTATGCACAGCATAAAAAACAGTCTGTAGAAACCTGGACTTCTACCTCAGTGCCTTTCTTGGAAAGAGATTTGAAGAGCCAGATGCTGTCCTCGTACAGAGAGGCTAATTATGGAGACTGATATACTAAAGCTTTAATAAGGGCTATTGGCAAGTAATTACATCCATTAGTATTTCTAGACTTACATCATAGGAAATTATTGTTAAATGATGCCCTTTCCTGTCAGATGCATATCTATCAGGACAGTGGTTTTCACAAAGCCAATTTTAAATTTTGGGCAAGGTAGACAGAGTCTATTGAAAAGAAGAAACATTTAATGAAACCAAAAACAGTACCTGCACTGTGTATGCAGATTGAAATCTTCAACCCATCCAAGTTGCTGAGCAGTCAGGAGTTAAAAGAGATTAAATGGATTTCATCCTTCAGCGTATAATAGAAGTAATTTCTTCCCTGCAACCAGCAAGTCTGCAAAAGTTTTCATTAACTTCTCTTTACTACTGATAAGACCTAGAATAGAATAACTTGTCCAACTGCTGAAAAAAACTGTTGAGCAGTCTTTCTGGTGTTTTTTTTATTGTTACTTTTATTTCTCTTTTTTGTTGTAGTAGCTAGTATTTTAAGCATATGATTATTGTTAGCATGTTTATTAGTACACAATATAATTTAATTAATTAATATTATGCATCACAATACATGAATAAAATGAAATAATCTTATTACTAAAGCATGATCATGTACAGGTGCAATCCCTAAAAACAAAATTATCATTAAAATCCACGTTTTATCAATATAGCTTGAACTTCAGTGTTTGGAAGTGCAAGTAGGCAGAACAGACATATTTACAGATGCAGGTACCACCAACCAATATTAATCATTCCAGCTTGAAATCTTACACTTTTTGTATGCTTTTAAGCATTTTGGTGAATCTCTCTCTAACATCGGTAATGACCGATGTTAGACCATCTAATGACCATGTAATACTGGTCATTAAGCAGCATACAATATATTTGAAGAGATCAGAGAAGACCAATTTCCACTAACAGAGAAAAAAACTAAACCAACACAACTGTATCATTTTAAGTTTTCATTTGGGCTATTTTAATGGCACTATGCAAGTCTGCGCAGTTGGACAACAGGAAAAATTCGTCATTTTCAATGACAGAAACAATTTTTCATTTTGGAGATTTAATTATTTTAAATATATATGCATGCTTAATTTTAAGTATCTTTCAAACTAATAAAAATATGTCATGACATTTTAAAGATAACTTCAAAATAGATTTCACTGTTTCTATGGTACTTTATTAAATCCACCTTTCTAGATAAAGTTTTGAATATGAGGCCTTTGCCATGAGACTCTCCAAGGTGAAGCTGAATATGAACATTTTTTTGTCCTATTCTTCTTTGACCCTGGGTCAGTGTGATGAAACATGGCAGTTCCCTCCAAGAAGAGCTGGAAAAATCAACAGTGTCTGACTCTCACAAGAGTCTGATTCATGAATTTCCAGGATAGGCCCAATGTAATAAAAAAATTGGTGTCTGATATTTTAATAGAAGCATAGTTGTTATAAGTGAGATTCAGTTTGTATTGAGTTAAGGTTGAGTTGACTATCGTAACCTTGGGAAGGGGAGTTATTGTTTTAAGGGGATTAGTCAATGCTCTTAGCAAGTTCTAAAGGGTCCAGGATGTACCGGGGGCATGGTCCAAAGGGGCAGAATAACATCCAGGAACAGAGTCAGCGCAATGAAACCAGCACCGCAGAAGGAGCTTGGGAGAAAGGCCTAACCAATCATTCGACCAACAGGAAAGCCAGAAACAAACCAATCACCAAGTGGATCCAAAACTCACCAATCCTGGACCCAAAGGGCGTTGTAAAAATGGGAGTTCGGTGGAGTTTGGAGCTCTTTTGGGGAACTTGAGTTCCTCAAAACAGGAATGCTTCCTGGAGAACCCAGTGTGCATGTGGGGTAGACACACTGTTTTTGGGTTTTTTTACTTGTTGCATGGGGGTCTGAGCCTATCTCAGGCCTTCCATCTCCTGTAGCTCTTTTTAAATAAACAAGAGCCTTTTCCTCTGAAGAAAGTCTGGCCTCGTTCATCCATAACATCTCCATGTTTTTTAGTCTCTCAGAAGGAATTCTCCACTCCACGTAATTTTGTCTCAATGCCATGGGAACCCGCTGGATCTCTGTGTTTTCATACCATCTGTATGTGATCATTGACAGAGGCACAGAAGTCCCACAGTCCAAGTGCTCTGCACTTCTGGAGCTCCAAGAATGAACTAAAGAGTTGGAGCTAAAGAAATGGCTGAGACTGAAGATCACTCCAGATGGTACAGTCCTGAAGGCAGAAAAATACAACTGCAAAAATTAGAGATATAAATAAATGACAGTTGTTTACAAAAAAAAAAAAAAAATCAGATATTGAGTACATTTTCTTAATGGTATTTACAAAGACACCCAGCCTGTTCTGGAGGAAGGAATCCCTGAAGAAAAACCCCAGTTTTGATGAATTTCCCTGTTAATCGCAGCACCTCAGAGCACACTGAGCCCATCACAAACAGCCACACGAGGCAAGGCCCTCTTCTGGGGCCCACCACCTCCTCAGCACCCCTTCAGTCTCCATTCTCTGTCCTTAAGGGATTCTGGGCTCCCACAGGATTGCTTTCACAGAAAGCAGTGCTATTTCAAAGAGACTTCAGGTTGGCTCTAGGAACTGAACAAATTTGTTCACATACCTTCAGTGGAAAAAGAAACTGGGATTTAACAGTTTTTCTTCTTTTGCTATTCTTCACTTATAATTTACTGTCTTTGGCTCCTAATTAATATGGGTCTATATATAATTGCATTAAATTTATGCGATATCTTTCAGTATTAATCATTTCATATATGTCAAAACACATTTTGGAAGCTGGCCAAAACAATATATAAATTTCTGTAATTTTAAAGGGCAACAGCAGCAAAATACTAAATACAGTGCTGCAGCAATAAGCTTCTCACACAGTTCTTCCTCAAGATCCTGATTTAAATTCTGGTTTATCAATTAAAAAAAATACTACCAGCTTTGAAATTTTAATTTCCTTTTGAAATAAAGGTCTCATCTAGATAAAGCTGGTGTTGCTTGCCTCTCATTGCTCCCTACTTTCATTATACAGATTTCTTTTCATACAGCTGCTAAATCCTATTTTCACAAGAGAAAAAAAATTTGCACCTCCAATCATCAAAGCAGCATAATTTAGGCCTTTATTATGTCAGTCATGAATTGTCTTTCTTGTGAGCTCACAATGTCATAATATTCTTTCTGATTAATGAGGATCCTACAATTACAGGGTAGGAACCGTCATGCTGTACTGCAGAGCCTGTCTAGAGGCAAAAATTACTGTTAATGCTAATGTGTTACTGGAGAGTTAGGGGTGGAATTATTACTGTCAGCAAATCCAAAGGGTCTGCACTCACAAGATGGATGGCTTTTGTCATTCCTGGAACACAGTTCTGGGAGGCCAATGAACTTTCACATGGGACCTCACCAATTCCCACTTCCACTTTTTGCCTGCTTACTGCCCCTGCTCAGTTACCTGGAGCACTCTGCCCTCCTAGGAGGCTGCCAGACGGGGGTGAAAAAAAAAGGAACCTAGAAAAGCCAGCCTGGCTAAATGGAAATCAATCGCATCAAAACAAACCAGTTTCAGTCTTCAAAGAATAATCAGCTTCTCTCATGCAGGTGAAAGGCAATATCAAATCAATAACTATTTCAAATCAATCCTTTAGTTGTTATAGGCAATTTGTTTCCTTTTTAGCTGCTGACAACGCATTTTCCCGCCTGTAATCACAAAAATATCAAAGTGATTTCACAAACCTATATACTTTATGGTACAGCCAGGGGGCTTATTTTACACCCATGTGTGATCCTCATGATAGAAAACCCAGGAAATTCTTTATAATTGTCTCTGTGACTTGGATAACTTAATCCTATGACAAAATGGGAAAGGGATGTGACATTTTATGTGCTGCTTGAGTACTTTTCAAATTTTGCTCTCAACATTTCTAGAGAGTGCTTCAAGTTTTGTACTGTTTATTATTTTTCCACATCACTCAGTAGTACAAGCATATACTAAAGATCAAAAACATAGGACTTAAAATCTGAAAAACAATTTTTCCCTTTAGAAAATAAATACTCAGGATGGGAATGATTAAATAACGAGCAGCACAAGTGATGTCAAAAACCAAAGTGTCTTTGATGCTGCACTTTTAGAACACAATATCATCTTCCTTGAATCCTCCTCTTTTGTCACATCTCCTTATTTAACTTCATTCTAGTAGGATGTATCATGTTTGAACAACTCAAGTGGGGAGGCTCATTCCAGCCTCCAATATGTCAATGCCATTAACCGAACACATGTTTTGTAGTGGAAGAGCCTGGTTGATGTAGCAGTACAGTCATTATTCAGCAGACAGACATCCAGCTGAAAGCCATTAACCCAGAGGAAACAAATGACTGCTCTCAGGATTTGCCCCTCCAAGTTTATGCTGCTGTAAAGAAAAATATTTAGTCCTGCACGGCAGTTCTCCATGTAAAGAGCTTTCTTTACAAAAAAAGCATCTCCTTCAAATGAGCAAATCAGTTTAAATATATTTCTTTGCTTGGAAAGGCAATATATTTAGGAAATAGTTCTAGAAAGTAGCTGAAAGCAGAAGCAAATAATGGTTTAAGGGTGTGAACAAATATTACACTGTTTTCTATCACCTAAGGAGCTTCAAGCAGTCAGGAAGAGGAGAAGAAACAAAAACATTCTGACCTACAACAAGCTTTTTGAAGTTCTAGTTAAAAGTAATAGTCTGTGGTATGCAGGAGTTCAAGAGAGTAGTTGATTCAGTAGCATTTCACTGTTATTAAAAATATCATAGAAATGGTACTAACCACAATATTTTAAGTATACTTAGTAATCTAATGACAGTCAACAATCAAGATTGTTAGGTAAATAAAGGATTCAGATTTACAATATGCTGATGTTGCTAAAATCAGTGAGAGTTTATTAACTAGTTGAAGTAGCATAACTAAGATAATGGTGGACTGCTTCATTTTATATGGCAAAATTACAAGAAAAGTTCACATCATAAACTCTTAGTAACTCAGTATATTCCATGGAACAAATGAATTGTATAAGCAAAAAAAATATTAATAGATTTTTCCATTGGATTTCTTTTCTTGGGAAGTTTCCTGCAAAAGCTCCTGAGGAAGATGAATATTCCTTTATGGCTCTTGTTAATACAAACTATGGTTTTGAAAATGTAAATTGATACACTGACTTTTCAAATCTATTTCTTTTGGAACAAAAAAACTCAGAGGGAAAAATCTGTTTGAGGAGTGGGAGCGAACATAGGGGCTTCATAGTGAGTGGGACTTGTAGACTACCAATTTCAGAGCCCCAGTTCTGGTAAGTGGCAGTAGTGAATCGTTAGAGACAGTACAGTGCATGGCTAGTGAGCATACTCATGCCTTGCCTGCCTGTCCTCTAATGTTTCCTAATCAGCAGCTTAAGTGTTCCTGAGCCAAAAGTTGTATTCAGGGCAATGAACAGCAGCTGTCAGTGGATTGAGTTGCCCTGAACTTGCCTGCCCTCTTTTGAAATCCATTTTGAGGGAGGAATCGTGCAGTAAAACCAATAAGCAACGAGTACATTTTGAGGCAGAATAGAAAATGCCAACCATTGCAACTTCCCTCAACTGAGTATAGCCCCCCAGTCTACTAGACCCCATTTTGGGAAATAGAGCCTTCCTCCGTGGAAGGAGAGACTAAAGAGACTCCTGTTAACTCTGTTAATCCAATTTCCATTTTCATCTAGCAGTTCCAGTATAAGCATTAGAAAAGGCTCTCAAATATGGCTTTAAATTTAGGCACTCTTAGAAGACACTTCTTGCTTATGTGTTCTTGTGTCACTGATGTCAGTGGAAATTCCTTGCAACTGCAGCAAAGCAGGCCTGGGATGGGCAGCTGCTCACCTCTGCTTAGTGGGGAGAAGTGATCCATGTCCATCCCGCTCCTGGCCTCCACATTCATCATCTGCACTCCATAACACAGATGTTCATCCTTATAGAACAGCATCTCATTCCTTCCTATTGCACAAAGGGATGAACACCACAGCAAAAACTTTTGTTTTTCTGCCCCCACCCCATCGTTGCAGATGATTATCCTGAACAATTTAATGCAGAAGATTGTCAAGCTTCATCTTCAAAAAAATTCAACCATTCCATTCCAATAGTCTTCTGAAGGCTGTTCCACAACCTTCTGCAGTTTGCCTTCTTTTCCAGATGGCTAAAACCTGTCTTCTAATTATCAGCCTGAATTTATTCATGCGATCCATTTGTTCTTCTGCCAGTATTGTCTTGCAGCAACAAATTGTAGCCACAACTGAGTTGGGTTTGGATCAGCAAGTTGTAACTTAAAGATAAAAGGATAACTGTATTGCATTTGTTTATAGATTAATTTCCCCTATAGTTATTTTAATAAAAAATATGCAGTGAAGTGTTGAGAAATATAAATTAATTGCATTGACAGTTAAAAATAATAACTTTAAAACTTATATGACAATAGGCAGTCTTCCTAAATTATAGTTATATTTAAATTATTGCTATCTAATGATATATATATGTATATCTCTATGAGCTAATTATCTGTAACTTGTTAAATATGTCAGTGTTCTACAAACTCTTCAGTCATTGATAATAGATTAATTAAAAATTTATCAATAATGTGCTTTGAGGTTATTACATAGAAAGTGAGCTTATCTCACATATTAATCTGATTAACTGATTTTGCTTGTTAGAAGAACCCTTTGTACTCTGCTGATGCCTTTTGTAGTACCTGAGCCTTCAGCCGAGCTTGACCTTGCTCATCTCTGGGAGCCGTACTTCCCTGCTCCTGCTCCTGCTCCTGCTCCTGCTCCTGCTCCTGCTCCTGCTCCTCCATGGCAAGCAGTCATCCCTCACCCTGCTACCCTCTTTCTCCTCTCAGGCAGTCACCATTTGCCTTCTTCACCTTCTTGTGCTGCTGAAGGATGGATTCAGAGAAAACAGCTGGGCTCCATTATAGCCTTGTGGCTAGAACCGTTCTCATGGAAGACAAATAAACTCCACTGTCACTGATAAAAGGTTTTTGCTTCTCAAAAAAATGCTTAAAAAAAAGGGCTAACAATTCCACCAGTTTTCCTGAGATACCCTCCCACACCCGCTGGAAACTATTATTTTGCTTTGCCTTAAATTAAAAGAAAATGCCCAAATATGACAATATAGAAAAAAAAGGGATATAAACAAATAGTGTTTCCCATAAGTCTGAGTTGCATT